CTGCGTCAACGGCGCTCCTCGCACTCTTCCCACTCGTCGCAGTCGTCACACTCGTCGCACTCGTCGTACGCCGCACGCCATCCGGACCGCGTACCTCCCAAAGCCGCGTCGCCGAATCGCGCGTTCCTCGCCGTGATCGGTGTGCTCGCGCTTGTGCTGCTGCAGACCTTCGCCGGGCTCTGGCTCTTTGTCAAGGGCTTCCTGCTCACGCGTCACGAGCTGCTCGGCGCCAACAACTGCACCCGGCCTGCCGACTCGGCGTGGACTCTTCCTGCGCCACCGACTGCGTTCGACGATGCTACACTCCTCAAGTGGGCAGAGATGCTCGATCCGCAAACGGGTGTGGGCGAATGTAGGCTCAAGCCGACGCACAGCAAGGCAATCGTTATCGTGGTCGATGCACTGCGGTACGACTTTATCGCCCCACCGCCTGCTGCGGGGTCGGTGTCCGAAAGGGTGGATCTCGCATGGAAGCCAAATCCGCACTATCACAGTGTTCTCACACTTCCGGCGCAGCTCACGGCGCAGCATGGCAGCCCCGTGCATGCAAAGCGGCCGGGTCCTGCTGGGTTCCTGGCGCATTTCGTCGCAGATCCACCCACAACAACGCTGCAGCGGCTCAAGGGGCTCACGGCAGGCACGCTGCCGACATTCTTCGAGGCGGGCGCCAACTTTGGCTCGGCGGGCACAGGCGTCGGCCGCGTGCACGAGGATACGTGGATCGCACAGTTGCGCGCCTCGATCCTGGCGCAGCGGGGTGCGGACGCGCGCGCCGGCCTCGTGTTTGCAGGCGACGACACGTGGGCGACGGTGTTACCTGGTCTGTTTGACAACGACACCATGTGGACGTACGACTCGTTCAACGTCGAGGACCTCGATACGGTCGACCGCGGAGTCGAATCGCGCCTGCTGCCCTTCCTGCAGCCGCAGCATCCTGACCGCAAGGCGGGCGTGCATGACCACTGGCGCCTGCTGGTCGGACACACCCTGGGCGTCGACCATGTGGGGCACCGTTTTGGAGCGAGCCACGAAAAGATGGCGACGAAGCTGGGCGAGATGCAGCGCTTCCTGCAGAACGTGACGGACGCCATGGATGACGATACGCTGCTGGTCGTGCTGGGCGACCACGGCATGGACGAGCACGGCGACCACGGCGGCGATGGAGAGCTCGAGGTGGGTGCGGGAATCTGGATGTATGCCAAGTCTGGATTCGGCCACACGGCGCGCGGTGGCAAGATGGACGCGGCCGAGTACATCTCGACGCCCGAGCTGGAGGCGCTGCTTCCGAGCCGCATCGCGTTCTCGCCGCTGCCATCGCCGCCGTACGGTGGCCACCGTAGCATCCCCCAGATCGATCTGGTGCCTACGCTGGCGCTGCTGCTCGGGGTGGGTGTGCCGTACAGCAACCTGGGCAGTGTTGTGCCGGAACTCTTTGCACATCCGGACACGCTGCTGCGTGCGCTGCGCATCACGGCGACGCAGATGCGCACCTACCTCGCAGCGTACGCCACGCAGTCGCCCGACCTGACGGCGTTCCGGCCCGAGCTCGACACGCGCTGGCTGGCCGCCGTGCGCGCGGACGCCGAGCTCGCTGCTGCACTGCACGGCCGAGCGGCGCAGGCGGACGTCGAGGCGCTGTGGAGGAAGGCTGCGCAGGCCTACCACGCTTTCAACCGCGTCAGCCTCGTGAGCGCACGCAGCGTGTGGGCGCAGTTCGACCAGGTCCGCATTGGGCTTGGGCTGCTAGTGCTCGTGCTGGGCCTCGCGTCGGCGTGGGTGCTCCGCTCCGGCGCACGTGCCGGCCTCATTGGCCGCCTCGATGCCGACCCGGCCGATGGAGACGCAAAGGTGGAGAGGGCCAGCAGCGGTGCGGAGGAGCTGGGCAGAGTGGTGTATGCGGCGGTGCGCACTCCTGCGCTCGTTGGCGGGGCGACGGGTGCGGCTGCGGCGGTGGCTACGCAGCTAGTGCCTGCGGGCGTGGCGAATCTGACGCTGCTGGACGGACTGCTTGCGGGCAGCGCAGTGGGCTCGCAGCTCGGACTGCTACTCAGTGCGTCGAGCGCGAACCTGCGACGCAGCATACGCAGCCAAGAGTCGGACTCGGCGGCGGTGCCGACGACGACCCGGGCGCTCGATGCAGCGGGATGGATAGTGCTGCTGCTGCACGCGGGGTCATTTGCGAGCAACTCGCTGCTGATCTTCGAGGATCGCTTCGTGCTGCTCGCCTCCGCAGTGCTATTTCTCCTGCGGGGCGCATTCGCTGTGGGTGCAGCGAGCACGCAGCGGCAGCAGGTGCGATTGGGTCTGATGGCGGTAGTTGCGCTGTTGCTCGTTCGGGCCGCATCCATGCCGCGCGTATGTCGCGAGGAGCAGGGTGCGAGTTGCACCTCGACGTTCTTTGCGGGCACAGCCGCACTGAACAGTCCGTACGTCATGGTGGGATCGTACGCAGCCGCGTATGCGCTGCCCCGCGTTGTGGCGTGGTTCCTGGCGCAGAGCAGGAGCTACGTGGGTGTGGCGCCGATGTTCTTTACGTGGGCGCTGCGGCCGGCGCTCATGCTGGGCGCCGGGTACTGGGTGCTGGACTGGGCGGTGGCGCTGAATGCGGTGCAGGCGAGCGGCGAGGCGGCGCGTGTCGAGTGGGTGAAAGGGTGGGTGGCGGTGGTGGCGCTCGGACTGCCCGGGGTCGCGGTGGTGTTCTGGGTATTCGCACCGCTGTGTCTCGAGATCCGACGCGAGGCAGCCGAGGCGGAGGGAGAGAAGGCCAAAGTGACGATCCTCGGATACTCGAATAGCCTGGGCAGCAGCTATGTGTTGCTGGTGGGTGCGGTGTTTGCGGTGCTGTTTCTGGTGACGCAGCCTGCTGGGCAGCTTGCACTGGCCGCCGTGCTGGTTGCAGCGCTAGCGGCTATGGAGTTGGGGGACGCCGAGAGGGATCGGGTGGTGTTGCACCGTCAGCGCACCGAAACTCCCGCCGGGGCAGTGCACCTTTGCGCGGGCGAGGTTGCGTCGCTTGCGCTGCTGGGCTACATGGGGCTGTTCGGAAGCGGTCACCAGGCGACACTGGCATCGATCCAGTGGCGCGTAGCCTTCCTCACGAGCCCGACGCTCAGCTATCCGCTCTCGCCGCTGCTCGTGGCACTCAACTCGTTTGGCGCCGTCTCGCTGCTCCCGCCGCTGCTGGTGGTGCTGTCGGTGGTGTGGAATGCCACCCCGCTCCCACGCGGAAGTGGCCGCAAAATGCCCACACCCTCCGTGATGCTGCATGCGCTCCTCACACTGGCGCTCTACAACGCCCTGCTGCTCACCGCCTCGGCCGCACTGGCGGGCACGCTCTTCAGCCGCCACCTCATGCTGTTCAAGGTGTGGACGCCGCGCTTCATGCTTGCCGCCACCGTGGCGCTACTCGCCCAAGCCGCCGCCATAGCCGCAGCCCTCGCTGGCTGGCATACCGCCAACAAGGTCAACACGATCTTTGGCACCGAATTCGCCTAGCCCAGCCCTAAGCACGGGGAAATAAAAAGGTTTGACAACAAAACGCGAGCAGCGCGTGATTACAAAGGACGTGCGAGAGAGAGAGAGAGGGAGGGAGGGAGCGGCTTAGTTCTTGCTCTCTTCGTAGGCGTCGAGGACCTTCTGGGCGCTGGCGGAGGAGGCGCCCTGGGTGTGTTCGGTGGAGGTGGTGGTGGGCTGCATCTGGTGCGAGTTGGAGTTCCACTCGGTCTGGGCGGGGTAGTCGTAGCCGGAGGTGACGACCTTGTCGAGGCTTTCGGATCTCCAGTTGAGCAACGTCAAAGCGGTGGCGATGATGGCGATGGGAATGGCGATGAGGGCCATGTAGAAAGCAGGGCCAGGCATGGTGTTGGGGGAGTCTGCGACCTTCTTCATCTGCTTCTGGACGTAGACGAAGAGGGCGATGTCGATGCAGAAAGCGATCAAGGCGAGCAGTGCGGCGAGGGCATTGACGACGGTTGCAGCGAGGCGAACCGGTTGTTTGGGGATAGCCGTCAGCACGAGGCCGGCAATAGCAGCCACGAAGGCTACGACGTGTACGGCGAGACCGCGGGTCCAGGAGGCGCCGATGGTGACCGAATCGCGTGCCGCCGTAGCGGTGGTGTTTGGATTGATGCCGAACGTGGCGCTGTAGCCATGGGAGTGTTTGAAGCAAGCGTAGTTGTCGGTGCCGTTGAGCGACGAGCAGTAGCCCCAGGTGCCGAACTTGAGTGCGCCAAGCGGACGCTTATCGTTGCTGCCCGGGCTAAGATCGACGATCCCATCGAGACGCGAGGAACGCACGAAATCAAACGGCGTACTGTCCGACAGCGTCGTGGGCGTGCTGATGGTGACGAGCACCAGCAGCACCATCGACACAAACGAAACAGCCAGTGCGGGGAACAGGTAGCGACGCGTCATTGTTAGCGAGGATGGTGGGGGTAGGATGTCAAGATGCCAATCCGAATGCGCCAGGTCGATGTTTAAGCCATCCCAAATTGGCCAGAGCAGAGCAGAGCAGAGCAGAGCGGCTGTTGGGGGGGTTTAAAACAAGGCTGAAAACGCTGTTTCGTGCGTCGGGGCTTGGAAAATAAAAAACGTTTTTGGAGAGCGGCGTGTTGGTCCTCGAATGCATGCGCTGCAGATCAACACTGCACCTTGGCACTCTGGCACTCTGGCACTTTGCCACTGTGGGTCGGGTCAATGCGCGCGTTTATTTTGGGCCCGTTTCCGCTGCACGAGCCGTGGCAACAGAAGCATTCTTTTCCGAACGCGGCTCGGCTCGCTTGGCCTTTTAAGAGGCACGCACGCTTTCCCTCGCCCCCAGCTTCACCATCGGCACCCCATCTCACCCCGATTTCCGACCCTCACCCGATCCCAATTCCCCAAACCCTCAAAGAGCCAATACACACTCACTCGGTTCTTTGAATGCGATGCTCTCGTGCGTCTCTTCGAGCGTGGGCGGGGTACAGTTACATTACACTTTTGCGCGGCGGTGAAGGAAGTAATTAGATTCGGACGGCGGCATTTGCTCTGTTGACGGTCGCCATTCGGTGCTGTTCCTCCTTCTTGGCGATGGCGGAGCTGGTGCCCTCGATGACGGCGAGGAATTCGGCGGCGAGGCGCTTCTCGATCTCTCGGTCGGGGCGCTTCTTGCTGGCCTCGATGATCCACGTGAGTGCCTTGCGCGTGCTTTGGCGCTGGGTGAGCGCTACGGGCACCTGGAGCGACTTGCCGCCCTGCTTCTTGCTCTGCAGCTTCACCAGTGGGGCGGTGCGCTCGATCGCATCGTGCACCAGCGGCAGCGGGTTCGAGTTGGTCACCGTCGCAAGGATCGACATGGTGCGCGTGGTGAACCTCTGCGCCTGTGCCTTTTTGCCCGCCTTCATGAGCAGGTTCGTAAGGAACTCCAGTGTAGCATCCGTGCGAGGTGGGAGTGTAGATGGTGTGTAGACGGGGCCGGTGGTGTCGTAGACCGCTTCCAGCCCCGGTGAGGATGGGGTGGACACGGATTCGGTCGAGGGGGGACGAGGCGGTTGCGAGGCTACATCGCGCGCAAGTGTGTCGAGCACTCCCATGGCCGAGGCGATGGCTTCGCGCTGCGTCTTACCCTGCCCCTCACCCGCAGCATCAGATTGGGAGCGGTGGACCCGTGCAGGCGTGGCATCCGTCTTCTTATCCGCAATCAGGCTGCGTGTGGACGTGGCGAATGTCGCGGCGGACAGGGAGGCGTTGGAAGGTCCAGCGCAGCACAGTGCGCTGCGACGCACCGCTGCATTGCGCAAGAGTGATGCCATATTGCGATGCGTATACAGTCGTGCCGTTTCGTCGTACTTCTCTATTCAGCCCTCGTGAGGCACGAAACGCTGATCGATGCGGACCGGTGGTGTGCGATAGAGTGACAAAGGTGGAGAGATGGTCTTCCGAGATGCGAAGGGAAAAAATCCACCCTCGCCTTCCCAAGCCTCTCTCTCTCCCGCTACTTCACGTGATTTTCACAAATCGACATCGGAAAAATGAGGCGACACCCCCGATCGATTGCAACTTCATCAAGGTCACACCTGCTTCTGCCGCTTGCTACCGGGCATGATGGCGGTGCGTGCTGGCATCTCGTCACGAGCCTCACCAGCGCCGACCCGACTGCCACTGGACATCTCTGCCTCGTCGCGTGGTTCTGTCGCAACTCCTTCCGCCGCGCGCTTAGCTGGCCCAGCGGCTGCACTGCCCGCCTCGGACGCCGTGTCTGTCTTTTGCATGGCCGAATCGCGTTGACGGCGAAAGTAGACGAGCCGATCGCGGACGTTCTTGTCCGACAGCGCCACGCCCACTTTAGCACCCACGAGCTGCGCGATGCGTCCGAACGTCGACGCGTCCCTGCTCCGGTAATCCTGCGCTGCGTCGACATAGCCAAGCAGCACGTGGTCCATCTCCGGTGTCCACTTGACCTTGCGGCTCGTTGCCAGCAGGTCCTTGAGCTGCGTAACGTCGAACTGCGCGTGGACTGCGGGAGTCGTTTTGGGTCCAGCTTGGGCGTGGGTGGTCGCGGCGGTGTCGGCGGAGGCTACGAGCTGCTTGAGCCTGCGCACCCAGCGTTCGCGGCACTGATGTGTGGTGCGACCGGGCACACGTGCTGCCACCGGACCCCAGTTGTCCGCGCCGAGCAGACGCACCGCCTCGATGAGAAGCAGGTCTTCGTGCGGTAACCACTTGCCCGTGGCCATGGCGGGATCGATGGTGTTGCGGAATCGCCGGTAGGCATATTGCGGATGCCGGGCCACTTTGCCCAAGATCGACGCCGAGCGAGACGACGCACCCGCCTTGTTGTCGGATCCCGACGCCGTGGGGGGAAGCAAGGCCGAGGCAGACGCGTTGGGAGTGGCGGAGCTGTGCAGTGTCATGAGCCGCCAGGCGCCGCGGAAGAGGCTGAAGAGCACCTTGCTCTCCTCGTCTTCCACGGGCTCCACCTCGGGTTGATCGCGAGACACCAACGCCTCGCAGAATGCGGCAAAGCAGGAATAGGCGGTGCGACCTGTGCGAAGCTCATCTGTCACTCTCTGCCACGGGACGGGCAGCTCGTGCGGTGGTTGTGCTTGTGTCGAGACGCCAGAGTTCGAGTCTTTGTTTCGGCTCAGGTGCGCGCTCAAGTGCGGCATGACGATACTGATGAGTTGGTCGAGTTCTTCCTTCGGCCATGGTGCATTGTTGACGCCCGGGCGGAGATGGCCGTTCCATCGGGTGCGCACCTCGTCGATGGTGCGCCCATCTACGCGACCGGCGATGGTGGCCCAGTCGAGCCCTTTTGCTGTCGCCCCACGCGAAGGGGCAGTTTGAGCCGAGAGCTCGATCTGTTCTGCGAGGCGAAAGACGGTATCGTCGTCGAGACCAGCTGCAGCAGCGAGTGGGTCGCCGTGGAAGTTGGGATCGGTGCTGAGCTCGATGGTGTGCGCCTTGAGCGCGGATGCTTTGACGGCGGCGCGGATCTGCTGGTCCTCCATGTCGATCCACATCCTCGAGGCGAGGGCGTTGTCGAATTCGGCGCGCTCGATGGACTGCAAACGTAAAAGAGGTATCTGCTGCACGGCTGCGGGTGGCAGAGGGCAGACGGACGCAGCGTCTTCGGCGAGCCGGTGCGTGCGAATGACTTCGAGAGACTGATCCTCTGCGTCCACGATGTCGGCGAGGTCGAGCGAGCCGAGCGCGGATTTGAGCTCGTCGCGCGTCTTGGCGAGGAGGGCGAGTGAGCGCTCGAGCGAGTGCTGGTGCGCCGTGTTGCGCTGGTGTGCGGTGTGGAGCAGCTTGCGTTGGCGGAGCAGAGTGGTGAGCTCGCGTCGATCGGCCGAGAGCGAGGCTATGATGGCAGAGATGTGCTCGTAAGGCAGCAGCCCAGGTGGGGGCTCTTCGGCTGCCTGCGGCGACGAAGCATCGCTGGATGGAGATGGGACATTGCTGTGATCGTCGTGGTCTTGACCGTTGCGTTGCGAGCTGGAAGGCGACGAGGATGTGCGCGCTTCGGCCTGTCTTATGAGCTGCTGGAGGACGGCATGCGGATCTGGCGGTGGATCTGGACCGGCCGAGCGACCGTCCATGGTGGCGATGCTGGCGAGGCAGCTGGAGCGCAGCGGCGCATTGCTTCGTGTGCCGATGCCAAGCCGATGCGAATGGACGAGAGGAAGGAGGCGCCACCAGTCGAGCTCAGCTGTTAGCCAGAGCAAAGAGCACGAGCAAAGAGCAAAGAGCAAGTTGGACCCTGACTGACTGACTGACTGCAGCCAGACGCGTGGTTCGATCTAACATTGCTTAAATTTCCCGCCCGGCCCCAACGCACCGACACGCGCGCCTCTCACACACACTCTCTCTCTGCTGTCACGCTGCGAAGACTCACTCCGACGCAGCAGCTCAAGCAAGGAGGCGACCCTGAAGTCACCCACTCTCTCTTCCCGTTCAATCACACTGTCACTCGTCTGGGCTGCGCTTCGATCCTTGCCCTCACGCCACCACCACTCGATCGAAATGCCGCTCCTCGACCCGCGCGAGGTGCTGCTGCGCCGCGGCATCCCCATCCCCGCCGCCTCATCCTTCCACGTGCCTGGGCTGCCTGACCTCCACGGCGAAGGATCTTCATCGTCGGCCGTGGGCCACCCGCTCCAGATGTCCGCCGGCTATCTGCCTGCACGCACCCAAGGCACAGACGGACAGCCAAAGGACAATGCACACCTCTTCTTCCTGCTGCTCCGAGCACGTCACGTCCCCGCCAAGCGCAAACTCATCGTCTGGTTCAATGGCGGGCCCGGTTGCTCCTCCTTCGATGGCGCCATGATGGAGGTCGGCGCTTGGAGGATGGACGGCAAGGGCGGCCTCGTCTGGGTCAAAGACGGCGCAAGCTGGAACGAGTATGCCGACATCCTCTTCCTCGACCAACCCGTCGGCACCGGTTTCAGCTACGTCAACACAAACGGCTACGCCAACTCCTTGCCCCAGGCCGCAGACGAGGTGTTTCACTTTCTCCACCAATTCGTTCAGGTCTTTCCCGAATACTCGCGCGACGTCGAGCTCAAGTTCGGCAGCCAGGGCAGCGGCGTCGACGTCTACCTTGCCGGCGAGAGCTTCGCCGGCCAATACATCCCCTACACCGCAAAAGCGATCGTCAAGGCCCACAATCCACCCGTCACTCTCAAAGGCATCGCCATCGGCAACGGCTTCATCGACCCCAAGAACCAGTACGGCACCGAACTGGAAACCATGATCGACAAGAAGATCTGGTCCACCTCCTCGGACGACTACAAGCGCGTCTCCAACATCGTCGACCGCTGCCACAAGGAGCTCGCCAGGCTCACGACCAGCTCGGGCAGTCCGCGCGAGATCGGCACTTGCGACGAGATCCTCCAGACCATCGTAGCCGCCACCACCGCCAAACCGCCCGGCTCGTCCGCCTTTACGTGCATCAACATCTACGACGTGCGTCTCAGCGACACCTCGCCCGCGTGCGGCATGAACTGGCCCAACACGCTCTCGGCCATGTACGACTACCTCCGACGCCCCGACGTGCGCAAGGCGCTGCACGTCGACGACAACCACAAGCCCGAGGCGTGGGTCGAGTGCAACGCCAACGTCGGCTCGGCCATGCGCAGCGACACCACCTCGCCCGCCTCGGTGTCGCTGCTGCCCGAGCTGCTCGAGAGCGGAGTGCGCGTGCTGCTCTTCGCCGGCGAGGAGGACCTGATCTGCAACGCCATCGGCGTGCGACGCACCGCCGAGAACCTCGAGTGGGGCGGCAGCAAGGGGTTCGGCGACCATCCGGCGCAGCAGTGGTTTGTCAACGGCAGCCTGGCGGGCACGTGGCGTACGGCGCGCAATCTCACCTACGTCGGCATCAGCGGCGCCAGCCACATGGTCGGTGTGGACAAGCCGATCGAGAGCCACGACATGATGGTGCGCTTCATGGGCATCGACTACATGAAGGTGGCCGGTCCCAATGCCATGATCCCCTCGCGTGTCGGCGACGAGCCCGACCGCATCCTCGTCACGGGCGGAGGCGGAGGCGTGGCGCAGATCGGCAAGGACGGCTCGCCCGTCATCCCTGGCTCGGGTAAGACCGAGGCCGAGGTGGCAGAGGAGGCGCGCTGGCGAGCGTACTACGATGCTGGCTCGCTGGCGCTGGTGATTTTGCTGATCGCCGTGTCGGTGGGGACGTGGTTGTTGCTGCGTGCGCGCAAACGACGTCGCATGGACACCAACCGGATCGGCCGTGGCGGGGCGTTGAGGCTCGCCACCACCACCGAGTTTGGCGCGTCGCAGGCGGCGACGGGTGGTGAGAATGGAGACAATCACGAGCTGGAGCGGCTGGTCAGCAAGAGGTCGCCAGACGAGGAGGATGCGATCTTTGACGTGGGTGACGACGAGCTGAGTGACAGCAATAGCGACGAACAGCCGCATAAGCCACAGCGTTGAAGCAGAGCACACGGACCAAAACAGGGGCACATTTCGCAATGTGAAGTCTCGATTTCTTCAGCGCAGGGCATGGTCGTAGCGCATGCGGTAGACTTGGCGTGCGTCTAGGAGGACGTTGAGGTCGATGGATTGGAGCAGGAGTGCCTCGTTTGCGTCGGGTGTTTGTGCTGCGATGCCCAAGAAGGGTGAAGCGATTGTGCTTCTGCCCAATCCGATCAGAGGCAGGTCTGTGTCTGGGTTGGCTTTGATCTGTTGGGTGAGGGATTGGATTTGGTCGGGGGAAAAGATGGGACCTGCGATGTTGCACATGACCACTAGGGCTTCGATCTCGACCGCACGGGCCTGGGTGAGGGAGTCGAGTAGTCTTGCTTCTGCGCATGGATTCCAAGCCAGTGCAGCGGAACCGCCGTCTGAAGCGTACCAGCAAGTCGGGGCGAAGATCACATCGGGACCCTTGACTTGGCCGTCTCGATCGAGGTCCGAAGCGGCGGAAAAGGGTGGGGTGAGCATTTGGTTGAAGCGATCGTACCACGCCAGGTCCCAACAGATGGCCATTGCGGCACGCACCCTCGTACCGCGCTTGGTCTCGATGACAAACGTTGCCAGTTCGTGTTGGTCCGGATGCGATCCGGGATGCGAGTTGGACAGTGTAGCGCGTTCCGGATGCCACAGATTCTGCTTTGTGTACCGATGCACCTCGCCCGCGCGCGAAACATAGTACGAGGTGTTGTACAGCTCGCCACCATCCTTCCTGTGCGGCAACTCGGCTTTGGCATCAAGCTCTACAACCGTACCAGCTACAACGTCGACATTGTACTTGCGAGCAACGTGGAGGATGACATCAAGCCAAGCCTGTTCGCCTTGTTCTGCCTGCGACTGCTGGCCACGAACGCTGGACCACAGCTCGTGCGTTGCACCGCTGAGAAAGTACTCGGGAAACACGACTACGTCTGCGCCCTCCTGTGCCGCCTTGGCTGCCCAGTTCTCGAGCTTCGACAGGCCGGAGCGCGGGATGGCATGCAGGCCAGAATCGTCGGGAAGCACCTGTGCCATGGCAATGTGCAGCAGCGCATCCCGAGCCTCCCCCTGCTGAGTGAGCAGCGACTTGGTGGGTGACCCAGCGTGTGCAGACGCAGCAAAGCTGCCGACAAGGGGGATTTCGGACATGGTCAAGGCGATGCCGGATGGTGGTGCAGAGTGAGGCGGTGGTGGTCAGTGCGCCGGCTAAATCGCCGGAATCATTGAAACAAAAAAAACGTCTGAATTTACGGCGCGAATCGCGCCCACGCCCATCGATACGCGCGCCGCCAAAACCTCCGATGTGCATCCGAATGCCGAGTGGCTTCTCTCGTGAAAGATGCTTGCCAGTAACTTGTCCACCATTGCAGTGGGGTTGTGATACTAGACATGATGGAAGGGAGGGGCGACCAGGGTCATCCCCGCAAATAGGGTCTGCGACGAACCCTGACAAATGGTTAGGCGAGCCAGATCGATCGGATCGGCTGGATCACACTGAAAAAAAAGAGGGCGGAAATTGATTTTTTTTGGGGGTATTTAAGGCAGCGATGACGGCGTCGCCTCCACAAAAAAGCACAGCCGGGCCGAAGAGATGCGGGCAGTGGGGCGGGTGGACAGTGCACGTCGACAGTCAAGCCAAGTCGGACGTGAAAATGCAGCCGACAGAGAGCCAAAATGGAGCCAAAATGGAGCCAGAAATCACGCTTTCAAGTGTGGACCACGTTTTGAGCCCCTCGTCGAGCCCCTCGTCGAGCCCCTCATCGAGCAGAGAGAGGGAGGGACCCTTGCTTCACTCCAACGACCTCCTCCTCTTGCCATTCGACGTCTGCGCATGGTCCATAGCAGCAGCGGCAGCAGCAGCGAGTCCCGAGGCACACGTACACCATGCAGTACGTCGGCAAGCTCGTCTCGACGGTGTACAACACCATCACACCCAACATCAACCCGGCCACCCTCAGCGGCGCAATCGACGTCATCGTCGTAGAACGCACGGTGGACAAGCATGAGCAAGTCGAAGTCGATGCGCACGGCAACGTGCTCCCCGACTCGCAGCTCGGTCTGCGTCCAGAGCACGAACGCAGGTACAAGACCGTCACCCGCCAAGTCACCGAGCTCGCCAGCACCCCCTTCCACGTTCGCTTCGGAAAGATGAGCGTGCTCAGACCAGGCGAGAGGAAGGTCACGCTCCATCTCAACAACTCTACAGATCCCCTCCCCTTTGCAATGAAGGTCAGCGATTCCGGAGAGGCCTTCTTCGTCATGGAGATCGACGAGGACGACGACCACATTCCCGCAGACCTCGTCACCAGCCCCATCCTCAGCGCCGCTGCTAGCCCCATCACCTCACCCGAGGCTGCCAACAACGACGCTACCGAGGTCGAGCCGCTCGAACTCGGAGAAGCCGGCGAGCCTGCTCTCCCTGACCAACTCCCCGGCCAGACCAATACGGATGCAGAGTCCGACACCAACACAAAGCAGCAGCTCAAACAAAACAAACGCAGTGGCGAGCCCGACGAGCAGGGCGACCTCAACGTCCCCTCCGACTCGTCAAGGACCGGCTCCGGTTCCGCCGCCGGTTCCGACTCGCTCCTCAACAAGGTCGGCTCCGCTGCCTCCAAGGCGAGTGGCGTCATCGGCGCCGCTGGCAGGGCCGTCATGGGCGGCACCAACAACCCACGCCTCGACCACACCGCCGAAAAGGCGCAGCGCAACGACCCCACCGATAATCAAACCGGCGCTCCCGTCGACGACGACCACAACGACGCACACAGCTACGAGCCCGAGCAAGGCGGTCCCGACGGCAAGAAGCGCCAACAGGCTCAGGACGA